CGTGTGTGTGTGTGTGTGTGTGTGGAGTAAGGAAACTTGCCTAAGGTTTTGTCCTGACTGGGAATCGAAACCAGGACCCTTCGCTTGCGAGGCGTGGGCTCTAACCACTGAACTACAGGACGACGCGTGGCCTGGAAGCGCCTGTTTAGCATCTGCAATCGATGCCTGAATAATGGAAGGCAACGGGCGCAGGACTAAACTCTGAGCTGCGTTCAATTAGATTTCTTAGGCTTTCGGGATTATTTGAAGAACTTGCTCTCAACTGAAAACAAAGTTATTTGTAAAGACGCTTTACCCTCACACTTTGTACTCACGAATACATGTGTACAGAGTTTGCACTTGGCAAGACTTCATGCATTTTCTAAATATGGCAAATCTTTACAGAATTACCTACTACTTGGTGTAGATTAGACAGGCTTTGGCTAAGGGGATTTTATAATATAAAACAACATATTTATCTGTTTGAAAATGTGTGGATTAATATTTCAATGAGGGGGTAACTAACTGAATATCTCCTTAAGCCTATCAATCACTAAAATTCCTTATCCTCCTTCTCAGTGCTCCAACACATCACACGTATTCTGAGAGGATGTATTGCGGTATCCAGTCACCATGTAAATAATCCTCGCATTTGACACAAGCCTTATCACATCTTCGAGACGTCTCAAAGCGCTTCACAGCATATACTGCAAAGCGAATTGACTGTATATTTTGTGGGCGAAACGCGGCAGCCAATTGCGCACAGCAGGGTCCCACACAAACAGTTGTGGATTGAGTGACCAAGTTATTTTTTTTTGAGGGTTTATTACCCCCGGCAAAGCGATCCGCCAATCAACTAACAACCGGGTTCCTACTTACTGCCGGGTGAACAGAGGCGTGTGTGTGTGGACGAAGGAAACTAGCCCAACGTTTCACCCTGCCCGGGAATCGAACCCGGGTCTCTCGATGGCAAGCCAAGCACTCTAACCGCTGAGCTACAAGCACCCCCAAGGCTATTGGAAAAGAGGAGGAAGTTTCCCCTGATATCTTAACTGACAGTTCTCCAGATCAAATTGACCGCTCACTTCATGTCCATCCGTTTGCTGGACCGTGCCTCACGCAAATAATTGGCCGCCACGTCGCCCCACAAAACACACAGTCACCGCGATCGACAGCAACGACCTGCGTGAAGAGCCTCGAGAGGTTTGAACGATACGCATCGATCTCAAGGAGTATTATTATTTACCCACTCAGCCTTCGGGGAGCTTGCTAAGAAGGAGAGCGAGATCACTTAACAGGGACAGCACCTTTGCTCAGTGTCTCCCGTCTTTCAGCGGTGGGGTGATTGAACGATTACATTTCACAATGTCCCTCCTGCATTAATTCTTGTCGCCCTTCGGATGAGAAGAGGTTCTTGAAATCGAGTCCAACTCCATGATTGAAGCAGGATGGGGCGTCTGATGACCGACCGCTAATAGCAGGTAAATTACCTTAAATCGGAGAGGCAGTTTATACCCAGTGACAGACAGTTGAAGTTGAAGTGGCGCGACTCTTAATTCTCAAAGCTGAGATGAACATGTCAATAAAGGTAATCTAACTAATGCCCGTTGGGACACACACATGGTGGGGGTTTGACATGCAAGAGCCTCTTCTGCCAGGTCTGTCAGGTGCTTCAAAGTCGAGTCCTGGAATCTTGTAGCTCAGCGGTTAGAGCACTCGCCTCGCAAGCGAGAGGACCTGGGTTCGATTCCCGGGGCAGGGAGAAACGTTGGGCAAATTTCATTACTCCGCACATACGCACACACACACACAGCTCTGTTTACTCAGCAGGAAGTAGGAACCCGGTTGTTAGTTGATTGGCGGATCACTTTTCCCGGGGGTAAAAATCCCTTAAAAAAAATTGGTCACTTCAATCCGCGACTGTTTGTGGGGAACGCTGCTGTGCGCAATTGGCTGCCGCGTTTCACCCGCAAAATGCACAGTCAATCCACTTTACAGTATATCCTGCGAAGCGCTTTGAGACGTCTCGAAGACGTGATAAGGCGCTGTATCAAAAGCAACGATTATTATTGTTATATATTATTATGATTATCCAGAATACAAGGCAGGATAACTGGGAGAGATGAACGACGGAACTAGCGACGGGGAAAGGGGAGTTTAGGAACTTGCATTTTATTATAGCACCTTTTATTTTGACTGTCTTCCTTGAGTGGGGCAGGGGAGGTAAGCAAGGTTTCTTTTTGAGCTGAACTGGATCCAAAGTAACATGTTTGGCATTGGGATGGAGCCAACACTCCGGGACGGTCTCTAGTCTGGTTTCCTGAGCCAGGCGGGTCCACAGTAGTTCAGGGCACTCACTGCTGATGACAGCAGAACCCGGCTTTCAAAAGAGGACAAGATAGATGTCTGAAAAGGATTCAACTTCAGCGGCACGGGTAAAGGAAAGTGCAGGTAAATGGGACTGAACGGATCACTCTTTAAAAGAGCCAGCACAGACACGATGGGCCAAATGGCCTCCTTCTGTGCTGTAAATGTCTATGGTTCTACAACACCCAACAACAACAATTTGCATTTGCGCAGTGCCCCCTCATGCAGGGTAGTGTCCCAGAGCGCTTAACAGTGGTGGAGCGTATCTCCAAGCCGGGGGGAGTGGTGGGGGGGGGGGGGGGAGGTGACCATAGGCACAGTCCAAGAGGAAAGTCTACAGGAGCGACCTGAAGATGGGGAAGGAAGGGAGCTAAGCAAGGGAATAGAGGGAGAGTGTTCTAGAGTTACTGGGCGTAGCGGCTGAAAGTGCAGCCGACGATGGTGGAACGGAGGGCACGGGGGACATGAAGGAGGCCGGAGCCAGTCAAGCGGAGACAGCGGGTAGTGTGTTTGGGGTAAGCAAGTCGGAGAGGTGGGGGAGGTGTGTTCTATGGAGAATTTTCGTGGGCAAATTGTTGGCTAAGACAACGGGAAAAACTCCCTTATCTCTTCCAATAGTGTCAATAGACAGGCAGACAGGAACTGTCCTCCAAAATACGGCATCTCTGACATCAGTGCTCTCTCCACACACATATATGCACACTCACATACACTCATGCACACACACATACATGCACACAGATACACACACGTACATACCCACACACATATATGCACACCCGCGCATACACATGCATGCACACACACGCACACACACACACACACACGCACACACATACACGCGCACACATGCATGCACACATAAGCACACACACCAGCACTGGAGCATCAGCCTGGGCTGTGGCCTCAAAGCCCTGACGTGGAACTCAAACTGCGATTGAAGACGGGTCAATTCAGAAGGAATCTACGCAAAGACTATTTCTGTGAACGAACGGTGAACCTGCGGAACAATCTCCCTAGGGAGATGGTTGAAGTAGAAAGTGTTGTTTCTTTCAAACACAGATTCGATAGTTTTCTTTTAGGAAATAACAATATGGGATATGGTACACAGGGAGTTCGGGACATATAAGTGCATGCGACCGCCAGAAAGGTGGAAGGCAAACCAGATGGACCGTGGTCTTTGTTCGTCTTGCATTTCTTATGTTCTTAAACTGAAAGCCTTCGGGCACACAGGAGAGCGAGTTACTGTTACCGACTGAGCCAGGCTGACTCACACCCTCATCATCCACAACGGTGATTCAGTGAAACACTTCCAATATGCCCCAAGGTACCTTACCTTACGCTGCATGTGATGAATGTTATTCTGCTCATACAGTCCAGACAGGCGGCATATCTAGGTGTCAGCCAAGCTCAGTTGGTTGCTATCTGGCCTCGGAGTCAGAAGGTGGTGAGTTTCAAACCCCACGGAGAGACTTTGAACTCGTCGTTCAGCCTGACAGTCCAATAGTTACCGGGGGTAATAAATAATTCCTTCAGAAAAAAATAAAGATAATAATTTGGTCATTCAATCCACGACTGGTTTGTTGGACGCTGCTGTGCGCAATTGGCTGCCGTGTTTCGCCCACAAGATACACAGTTGATTCACTTTACAGTGTATCCTGTTTTGAGACGTCTCGAAGACGCGATAAGGCGCTGTATCACATGCAAAGATTATTATTATTATTATGATTATTATTATAGCTGTTGAGGACAACGTTGCAATTGTCACAAGTGCTGTCTTTCAGAAGAGATGTTAAACCGAGATCCCAGCTGCCTGATCGGGTGGAGGTTAGAGATCTTATGGCACGGTTTGAAAAGGGAAGCGAGTGCTTTATTCTGGGTCCTGGCCAGCAATCCCCCAGATAAAATTAAGCATTTTCACTTCGCTGCTGTTGGTGGGACTTTGCTGTGCGGCTGGCAAATTGACTGCCGTGTATGTGTGCAAAACAGCCAGTCGCAGTAATGAGTCGACAGTAAATCCTATGGAGGGCTTTGATGCCGTGATATGACATGATATCAAATGCAAGCATTATCATTGCATCCCCGTGCATGTATGGCAAACTAATAGCACAAGATTCCAGTAGCACGTGCAGACTGGCGCTTTTTGAAACAACCTGAAAAATGGTTGTCATTGTCTGAAATTTGAACTCACAGTCCGGGGCTGTTGCAAGAACTAAGTCAGCTTCGGCTTCGCAAGGATTTTCTCTGGCAGCTTTCTCACTGCGTGCGTCAGGAGGAAGAACAAACCATATGGCAATGTGGCGCGCAGTCAATCTTTTATTGTGAACTTGGCTCACAGTTTGTAGCCTTCTTGCCTCTAGGTCACAAAATGGTGCCTCATGTTGGGACTTTCAGCTTACAGTCCAGGCTGATGATAATAATAATAATCCTTGCCCTTGATATAGCGCCTCATCACGTCTTTGAGACGTCTCAAAGTGATTCACGTGATATACTGTAAAAGTGAATTGACTCTATTTTGTGGGCGGAACCCGGCACCAATTACAAACAGTCGTGGATTGAGTGACCAAATTATTATTTTTTTTTTTGAAGGAATTATTACCCCCAGAAAAGAGATCCAGCAATCGACTAACAACTGGGTTCCTACTTACATGGAGTCCCATAGCTCAGTGGTTAGAGCACTTGCCTTTCAAGCAAGAGGACTTGGGTTCGATTCCCAGGCAGCGCAAAATGTTGGGCAAGTTTCCTTACTCCACACACACACACACACACACATGAGCCTCTGTTTCCCAGCAGTAAAAATAATAAAAATTGGTCACTCAATCCACGACTGTTTGTGGGACACTGATGTAACAATTGGCTGCCGCGTTTCGTCCGTAAATATACAGTCACTATAGCATCGAGGCTTGGGCAAATTGATTGAATTCAGCCTTCACTTTGAAGTCTTCTTTGAAAACTTTGAAGACTTCACTTTCTGTAGTTCTTAACAGAATTTCCAGAAATTTAAATTCAAAGTTAAAGCTGGATACTGCATAAACAGAGCAAATAATATTAGAATAATCATTGTATTTGATGTAGCACTTTATCGTTTCGCCCGTAAAATATACAGTCAATTCACTTTTACCGTATATTCTGCGAAGCGCTTTGAGACGTCTCAAAGACACGATAAGGCGCTATGTCAAATGCAAGGATTATTATTATTGTTGGAGGTACCGTCCCTCAGATGAGACATCAAACCAAAGTCTCATCTCCTGTTTCAAGTGGACGTTAAAAGGTCCTGCGGCACAAGTGGACAAAAGGGAGAGGATTTTTCTAACCTGTTTCTTGCTGACAATCCCCCAGATAAATTGATCATTCACCTCACGGAGGTTTGCAGGCCCTCACCGTGTGCAAATGGCTGCCACGTTTAGCAACAAGAAGACGAACTTGACAGTAATTACTTGTGAAGTACCTTTCAATGTGATAAGGGGGCTATAAAAATACAACTTCTTTCTTTCTTTCACGGTTCTCTTCTCATGGGAGATGCATCTATTCTGTTTTACGCACCCTAATGTCCCCGTTTTGAAGCCATTACAACTTGTTGATAGAATATTAACGGCCTCTATCTCATTTCCCACAGGATTCTCGCTCTCTCTATTTCCCTCGTTGCGTTGTAGCAGCGATTATTTTTCCCCGTAAAAATGAATACAGATTGAAACACTGCCGTTCTGAAGAGAATTGCTTTTATCTTTTGTTCTCCTGCCAATGTTCTCACTCATTCTCCTTCTCCTTTTCCCTATTTTCTCTCGTCTACCAAAGTAATTAGCACTGCCAGTATTTTGAGGCACTATCCTCTGGACCCTATATAACTGTTGTTATTGTTGTACATATTGTTGATATTGTGGAGCACTGTAGCTCAGTGGTTAGAGCGAGGACCTGGGTTCGATTCCAGGCAGGGCGAAACCTTGGGCAAGTTTCCTTTCTCCACACGCCTGATAATAATCCCTCAATAAAAAAAGAATAAATTGGTCACTTAAATCCACGGCTGTTTGTGGGGACGCTGCTGTGTGCAATTGGATGCCGCGTTTCGCCCACAAATATACAGTCAATTCACTTTACAGCATATTCCATGAAGCGCTTCGAGACGTCTCGAAGACGTGAAAAGCGCTATACCAAATGCAAGGATTATTATTATTAAAGACCCAATGTAAGAAAATGTTGTTGCCGTTGTCTGTCGAGCCCCATTTGAGGATTTAAGAACGTCGGACAGTAGGGCTCGGAGTTGACCATTCAGGCAGTTGAGCCTCTTGTACTATTTTATTAGATCGTGGTTGATCCTGCAACAAATACCATTATCCTGACGATGTAAACCCCTGTCCACCAATTTGGATGGTAACATCATCTGTCTTTCAATTGAGCACTGCGCCAACTGTCATAAACTACATTGAATAACAAACAAAAACAGAACTGGTTGGATCTCACCCTTGTTCCCTTGAGCAGTGCAGTGAAATGAATATGCTGTCTAGATTTTCAGATGTTTTAGATATATTCTGGATGACTTTAGATGACTTTTAGATATATACTGTGAAATACCTCGAGACGTCTTGAAGATGTGATCAGGCTATATCAAATGCAAGGATTATTATATCTTATTATTCTGATTATCGTGTCATCGAGATGTCTCAAAGCACTTGACGGAAGAGCATAGAATCAAAGACCCATAGAATTATACAGCACAGAAGGAGGCCATTCGGTTTGTTTGAATAGAGCTAGCCAATTCAATCCCATCCCCACTGCTCTCTCCCCATAGCCCTGGAAACCTGTCCTCCTCAAATAATTATCTACTTCTCCCTTGAAAGTTGTTATCGAATCGGCCTCCACCACCCTTTCAGGCAACGCATTCCAGACCTGAGCAACTCGCTGCGTGAAAAAATTTCACGTCACCTCCCCTCTGTTTCTTTTAACACCTATTTTAAATCGGTGTCCGGAGATTACTGACCCACCTGCCAGTGGAAATAGTTTCTAAGTTTTCATAATTTTGAAAACTTCTATTAAGTCTCCTCGTAATCTTCTCTGCTCCAAGGAGAATAATCCTGGCTTCTCCGGCCTCTCCTGATAACTGAAGTCCTTCATTCCCAGTACCATCCTGGTCAATCTCCTTTGCACCCTCTGCAATGCCTTGACATCCTTCCTAAAGTGTTGTGCCCAGAACTGAACACAGTCTGTAGCTGAGGCCTAACCAGTATTTTATAAAGGTTCATCATAACTTCCTGACTTTTGTATTCTATGCCCCTATTTATGAAGCCTGGTATCCCATATGCTTTTTTTAAACAGTTTTATCTACCTGTCCTGTCACCTTCAAAGATTTACTTATATGAACCCCCAGGTCTCTCTGTTCCTTCGCCCGCTCTAAGATTGTTAATTTAATTCAATTTAAGCTTATATTGCCTCTCCTCATTCTTCCTCCCAAAATGTATGACTTTGCATTTCTCCAAATTAAACTTCATCTGCCACGTGTCTGCCCGTTTTACCAGTCCGTCTATGACCATTTGTAGTCTGTGACTATCCTCCTCACTGTTTACGACTCTTCCAAGCTTAGTATCATCTGCAAACAAACTCAGAAATTGTACTCCCTGTACCCAAGTCCAGGTCACTGTAAAGTGGACTGACTGCAGGCGAATGGCAACCAATTTGTACACAACAACCCCCGACATGCAGGCATGAAATTAGGGATCAGTTTGAATTTGGGGATTATTGGCCAGGACACCGGGAGAAACTCACTTTACGACTAATAACGCCTATGCTTCAAAAGATGTGGTCTAACTGATGATTTACAAAGGTTATTATAATAATAATAATAATAATAATAATCCTTGCATTTGATATAGCCCTTTATCACGTCTGGAACTCCATCCCACGGTCCCTTCCCCTCGCTTCCTCCCTCGCCTCCTTCAAGGTCGGTCTCAAGACCCTTCTCTTCGACCGTGCCTTTGGTCTCCCTCCCTTCCCTTAACCCTACCCCACCCCTCCCCCATGCTCGGGCCCCGACACCTGACTGCTCAGCGCTTTGGGACGTCCTCCCGACGTGAAAGGCGCTCGATAACTCCGATACGGGAGCGGAGTCGGGAGAGAGTGAGGCGGAGCCGAGGCTGAGCTGCGTATAAGGCACAGCAGGTGAGGAGCCACTCAGGTGGGGAGCGGAGTCAGGAGAGCTGAGGTGGGTGAGGGGAGGGGAGGGGGCGCGATTCACAAAGTGACGTCTGCATGACTTCACAGTTAAAAAAACAGCAACAACAACAACAACAACAACAACAACAATGGCCTGGCAGCCGCTCCCACCCCCCTCTATCCGTTACTCCCCCTCTGTCCTTCTCTCCCACCGCTCTCCCCTTCTATCTCTCTCTCTCCTCGACCCCATCACCACTTCCCTCTGCTCCAGCCTGGGCATCCTCCACTGGGCCCATCGTGGCTCCCGGCACTGGCTGTCCCAGAGCAGCAACCCCACGTATCCAATCATTCACTCCCTCCGCTCAAACCGCCTCCTTAAGGCAAACCCAACTTCCCCTTCCCTCATACGTACCCTCCCCAATTCTCCACTCCCACCATTCTCCACAACCATCTCTCCTATACACCCTGAAATCCTTTCCGCATCATCTCTCCCCCCTCTCCTCCGCCCCCCTCCTTCCAGCAAACCCACCTGCATTTCCCTCCGAAATGTCTGTTCCCTCTCAAATAAAGCCCTCACCATTCACGACCTCATCCTGGACGAGCATCTTGACATTCTTGGGCTCCCCGAAACCTGGCTCTCCCCCAATGACCCCGTTCCCCTAGTGGAAGGCTCCGCTCCAGGCTACACCTTCCACCACACCCCCCGTCCAAACCAATGTGGTGGTGGGATGGCCTTCATTTCCAAAGCCTCCCTTGGTCTCACCCCCTACTCCTCTGGCTGCTTCCCCTCCTTCGAGCATCGCACCCTTTTCCACCCCTCTCTACCACTGAAAATCCTCCTGGTCTACCGCCCTCCTCAGCCCCATGGCTCCTTCCACACAGACATCTCTACTCTCCTCTCTTCCCTGACCCTCTGCTCCCAACTCTATTTTTTCACCTCTCTTTGTGACCCCCCAGTCCCCTGATGTTCTGTCAGTCTACCTGTCAGATCTCAGGGTTGGATGAGTGCAAATTTCCTTCAGCTGAACTTTGACAAGATGGAAGCCATACTCTTTCTCTCTCATCAACATCTAAAATCTCACGGCTCTCACCTCCTCCACCTACCTGACCTCCCCCTAAAACTCTCCAAACCCGTATGCAAACTTGGTGTCAGGTTCAACCTCCAATTATCCTTCCTCCCCCACATCCGGTCCCTCACCAGCACCTCACCTTCTTCCACCTCCAACGCATCGGCCATCTCCGCCAATACATCTCTCCGAAAGCCGCTGAAACCCTGGTCCACGCCTTTGTCACCTCTCGGCTGGACTACTCTAATGCCCTCCTCACCGGTCTCCCATCTACTACCATCCATAAAATCCAGATCATTCAAAACTCTGCCGCCCACATTCTCACCCGCACCAAACTCCACTCCCCAATCACCCCAGTCCTCGCCAGACTGCACTGACTGCCTATCCCAGAGAGGATCGACTTCAAGATCCTCACCCTTGTATTCAAATCCCTCCACTCCTTTGCACCCCCCGACCTCTCTGACCTCCTCTCTCCTCAAAAGAGTGCCCATTGCGTTCGTTCCTCCGGGTCTGGC